AATACCCTTTGGAAAGGTGTGAATCCTATTCTTCTCCCTCCAGCTATTGGTTAAAAAATAGCAGGACAGACTTGGATGGCAACGATATATATATATATGTTTCGAGGTTAAAAGCAATCAATCGGCCTGAAGTTCACGTATATATAATGTGGACTTCAGGCCTGTTGATTGCTTTTAACCACGAAACACATTGCTGAGTGTTGACTTAATTTTCAATTTGATATTTGCACATGCCCTATCCTTGTCACTAAGCACCTTAACCGGTAAATACAGCCTAACTTAAAACTATATTCTCATCATATATATATATATATATATATATATATATATATATAGATAGATAGATAGATAGATAGATAGAAAAATAGACTGACATAAATAGATAAGATAGATAATGAACAGGCGGAGATAGATAGATAATGGACATGTGGAGATAGAGACAGGAAGATAGCGAACATTCACAACTCTCTCTATCTCTCTCTCTCTCTATATATATATATATATATATATATATATATATATATTGATAGATAGATATAAGTTTGAATATAAGCTAAATAACGAGATATTGGCAACTGTATATGCGTGCGATAGCGTGCATAAGCAGATAACCAAATAAATATTAAGTTAATTTATGGTGCAAACAAGAGTATTCAATGCGGTTAAATAGAGCTTTAAACTAAATATTCATCAATACACATCTACCGCCTTCTGTAGTTCTACTTGAAATTTCATGGCTTTTCATGGTTTATACATATATATATATATATGTATATAAATAAAAAGAAAGAACAGTAAGATATATAATCCGGTGTTCTCATAGATATTTTTATTTTTACAAAATAGTGCACAATGTAAATTTAAAGAGCATTATGTTAAAATAATCCTACATAATATAGTGGATTCTAATACATTTAACTGTTCTTAAAAAGAATATAGTAAAATAAAAATTAAAAATGAGAATATTTCAAATCGTAGTTAAATAAAAAGTATTATGATTTGAACACTCCCGAAAATCTTTAAATTTATAAATGGAAAAACAAATGCCGTAAGAATTTTGTTACCGTTAACAATAGTTTTAAAAAAAAATCCAGACGACATGCATTCAATGGATGTCAATTTTCATTGAAAAATACATCCCTACCCCTTACCAAATTGTAGCTAATAACTGATACAATGATAGTGGCATAAGGAATACCTAGACACCCCTTGTCCAATTCAAGTAGAATATTCTGTAACCATGGAAACGTGATTTTAGCTGTGGCTTTAAAACCCAGTAATTTTTTAAAAGTTACTCCAAAATTCGCTTGAGGATGAAATGAAACTAATGTCTTTAATTTAATTGCAAAATTAAATTCGGGGCTTTTAGCTTCTATTTTTGAAACATGGTTAGAACTGTGTAGCAGAAAAAAACATATTTTAAATCAATTAATTTATAATACATATATATATATATATATATATATATATATATGTGTGTGTGTGTGTGTGTGTGTGTGTGGGTGGTGCTTATTAGAAATCGCTCAATATCAATGTTAGACCTAACATGTTTAGTTAAGGGACATAGAGACGAAATACCCTCTACTGCCACCAAACAAATCAAACAAATAAATCACAAACTCATATCTATTCAACTAAATATATATATATATATATATATATATATATATATATTGATTTTAAGCACAGGACTGAGATTAAGGAACGAACTCACTACTCAGTTGGAATTGATCTAGTGAGCCAAACTTCCTAATCCCGTCGAAGTACATATCTACACTGCGTGCCAAATTATTAACGAGATAACTTTTTTTCTAATATTTCAAACACCGTCCAATCAATTCACACAAAATTTTCACCCAATGTTAGCAAGACTGATCTGCGCAACCACTGAAATTTTTGTATTGATCTGCGCAATGTAAACCAACTGGCGCCATATTTGTTATCAGCACGGTGATAAAGCAATTTCGATATAATATAACAAATTTAAATTAAATTTTATATATATATATATATATATATATATATATATATATATATATATATATTAATTATTTATTAAAAATATAATTCCAAATCGCTACATAAGAGGTCTCATGTTTCAAAACAAGAGCCGAAAACTACTATAATCCTTAAATTAAATTGAGTTTAAATTAAAATGGGCTCCGTTCCATCTTCAAGCGAAATTTTTGTTGGAATAACGTATATCTGAAAATTACTTGTTTTAAAAATTGAAATCAAAATCCCCATGTTAACAGCTAGGGTGAATTGTCTAAATTGGGTAGGCGAGTGTAGGGTGTTTATAATAAGTAGCCGTATAGAGATACTTTCAAGATGTCAAGTCGGGGAAAGGTGGGGGTGTCTAAAATGAAACGGAAGATGTATTAACCTTCGTCTAGTTTGCTTGTCTATGGAGATTTATTTATTTATTTTATTTTATTTTATTATGAAAGGGAATTGTGCATATAAAAAAAAAAGAAAAACTTTCGTAACGTTTGTTTTTTGACGACTTCATAAAGGGTTATCTTTTATGTAAGGTATTTAAACTACTTATTTGGGCTATGGATTATGAAGGGTGTTATGTTGTATGCATGTTTGTAGTTCATTATTCCTACTATGAATCTGATGATTATGTCGCGATTTGGAATCATATTTTAAATAAATAATTATATTTATGCTCTACTTTTGTATCGAGCACTATTTTTAAAAATAATAACTAAAATACTAAGGGACTTTGGATTATTTACCTAACCAGTTCCTTCCTATTTTCTATTTATTTTCACACACACACACACACACACATATATATATATATATATATATATATATATATATATATATATATGAAATATAAATTCCGCTTATTTTAAATGCGAGATATATTTTTAAAATGATATAACTATAATCCCTTATAATATATGGACAGTACTTCATTGCGTAAAGCAAATATTTATATAGTAAAGGTCAGTCTATACTCAGCAGCTGAAGACTGCATTGGGTATGAAATTCTGTATAATGTTACTTGTGAGGATAATATATATATATATATATATATATATATATATATATATATATATATATATATATATATATATATGTATATATATATATATATATATATATATATATATATATATATATATATATATATATATATTAACAGTGATGGTGTTGAATGTAGAATAAAATTTTTTTTAAATTTTAAATATTTATGTTATAATTTTCGAATAAATTATATATATATATATATATATATATATACTGCGTGCCAAATTATTATCGAAATAACTTTTTTCTAATATTTCAAAAATCATCCAATCAATTCTCACAATGTTGACAACACTGACCTGCGCGATCACTGAAATTTTAGTACTGATCTGCGCAATGTAAACAAACTGGTGCCATATTTGTCATCAGCACGGTGATTTGAGCGTGCCAAATTATTAGAAAGGTTTAGTAAAATTCCCAGAATTGAGCAAGCGAAACGTTTATTAATGTTGCACGTGAATGTTTATGATCAATAGAAGCTAATAAATAAGATAAACAAATAATAACAAATAAAAACAAAGGCACAGTTTTAAACAAATTAATAAGGAATGTGCTTTCCCTGTTTTGAAATTACTTGAAGATGTCAACGATCCATAGAATTTCTTAATTGTAGGATGTCATCTGCTGTAATGCCGCGAGATATGTCAAGAATTGCTTCCCACAACTCAGCGTTGCTCCTGAATTGTCGTCTGTTGGCGTACAGTCTTCGCTTCATGATGCTCCAAAGGTTTTCGATTGGGTTCAAATCCGAACAATTTGCTAGCCACTTCATTTTTTGAAGTCCATCGAAGCCTAACCGTTTCAAATATTCAGTAGTCTTGTGAGCAGCGTGTGAGGGAGCACCATCTTGCATAAAAAACAATGGCCCTTCCGAAGGCAACTCTTTACCTTTTCATCCACGGCTCAAGATGCTCCTTCATAAACGCTATGTATGCATCAGCAGTCATTTTGACGCCATCTGGTACTCTCCATGGGCCCACTAATGTTTTTCCAATAATACCACCCCAGATCATTATGCCGCCACCGCCTTGTTGGCGTCTCAAACGCTGATGGCGATTCTATCCATTCATTACCCAGCATTTACACCATCTATCTGGCCCATCAAGTGTTGCTCGAGTTTCGTCTGTGAACAAAACCTTAGAGAAGTCAATCTTCCTATTGTCCTCGGCTCATTTCAATCGATTTTGAATGTGATTTCTCGTCAACAGAGGCTTCCATACAGGTTTGACTGTTCTTGCTATTTCCTTCAGATACCGACACCGAGTACTTTTAGACACAGTAAGATCCCCAATGTGACTGAAAAGCGCTTGACTGGTAAGTCCAGGGTTCTTCGGGGCTTCTCGTTTAAGTCGTGACATGAGACGACGTGAAATAACCCTCGGCTTGCCTTTATCTGACCTATTGCGTACTTATGTAGAGTCGGCGGAGAACTTTTTCACTGTTTGATGACACCTCCCTATCATTTTAGAAATTTCTACGGTAGATTTACCTTTTGGGAATTCTGAGATGATAGTTTTCTTTTCAGCATCCCTTAAACTGCTTTTACGGCCCATCATTTCACTGAATTCTTCGACTTTTCTAATAATTTGGCACGCTCAAATCACCGTGCTGTAACAAATATGGCGCCAGTTTGTTTACATTGCGCAGGTCAGGACGAAAATTTCAGTGATTGCGCAGCTCAGTGTTGCCAACACTGTGTGAATTGATTGGACGGTTCTTGAAATATTATAAAAAAAAGTAATGTAGTATATATATATATATATATATATATATATATATATATATACCAGTCTGTTCTTATTTATCTATTTAGCACATTCTGTGCATATTTATCTGTCAACATAAATGCAAATGTGCATCGAAGATGATAATAAAAAATATAGTGAGAAAAAAAAGTACATATGACAATACAGACAGATGCGAAAAATGTGATGTCATATATATGTATAGATACG